GCCACTGTGTTGGGGCAGCGTGTCCGTCACCAGCAGCCCATCCACCCCAACGCGCAGCCGGTCCTGCCCTGCGCCCGGCACCTCGCTGCCGTTCAGCAGCCAGATGGCTCGTGCCAGGTTGGAGCGCTGGTCACAGGGCAGCAGCACATCATCTCCCTGCAGCACCGTCCGGTTCTTCCACGGCAGGGAGCCTGCGGGGACACACATTGCCTCGCACCCATCCCAGCCACCCGAAGGGATGCCAGATGCTGGCATCCCCCACGGTCCCAAGGGGCAGCGCAGACTCACCGCGCCCAAAGCTGCTCCAGCATCCCTCGTTGCCGCTCTGAATGTCCTGCACCAGCCGTGTGCTGCAAGACACACAGCCCCGGCTGAGCCTACCCTTACAGGGTCACAGCCACCAGGAGACCTGCTGCCAGCTGTCAGACCCTTGTGGGTGGCACTGGGGCAACTGTGCCACGGGGTGATGTGCAACAGCATGGCACAGCAGGGCAGGTGGAAGTCTCTTGGGGACCCCACTGGGGACAGGCAGCCCATCCCTACCTGTCTGCAGTGGCGGTGGCACGGCAGGCCCTGCCATCCCAGGCGCAGTAGGGGTCCCGGGCGAGGATGCAGTCATAGCAGGAGGTGTATCTGGCGCAGGAGGCCAGGGGACCCTGCAGGATCCCGCTGGCTGCCCCCACGTACAGGCTCCTCTGGGGGGGAAAGGGCTGGCTCAGCACTGCCCCAGCATGGGCTGGCTGGGCTGTGGGGTGCCCCACAGTGCCCAGAGATCCCCCCCAGCCCTACAGCACAGCTCTCCCTCGCTGGGGGTGCGCAGGGAAGGGCCCCCAGCTGCAGTCAGTGCTGATGGCTGCAGCTAGCACCTGGCACGGAGGTGAGAACCAGGCTGGTCCCTGACCCCCAGGCTGCCCTGCTGGGCTCCAGTGTGCATCCCAAGCTGGGGTAACCCAGGATTCACATATCCCCTGTTCCCCAAACAGCCCAATGGCAGCTCTGCAACACAAACATGCCCCATGTGTGGTGTCCCCCTACTTCTTCCACCCCTCACCTGGGTGTGGGAGATCACCAGGCTCTCCACAGGCTGCGGGTCTCTGAACACCTGCACCTCCTCCACGATGTGGATGCTGGAGCCCACCACCACGGCCTTGTGGATCCAGCCATCCCCTGGAGAGCACACAGTGCAGGGGGGATCAGAAAGGAGTGTGGCATGTCCCCCTCCCCGGCCCAGCAGAGACCTGGCAAACTCATCCTGTGCTCACCCGTCCCCATGAAAAGCACATCGTAGGAGTGGCCGTCGAGGGCCCGCACCCTGTCCACGGCCAGCTGACTGTACGCCACGTTCTTCTTCACCAGCAGTGGCTCCCCATCAGCCGGCTTCACCTCCTCAAACATGAGCGGGTGCAGCTTGACAAAGTCCAGGACGCTGTTGGGCAGGTCCTGCGAGGAGTTGTAGCCCTTCCTGCGGGAGCGGTCCGTGATGCACTGCCCGGGGGAGATGGGGGTCAGGGGGGAATGCGGCCACCCCATGCCCCCCCTACCCCACACCACCAGGCACTCACGGAGCCAGGCCGGGGCTCCGCAACGGCACCACCGTCTCGGGGCAGCTGAGATGCTGTAGCGGCACACAGCCGAGGCCTCCATGGTCCTCCTGGGGGGGCAGAGCCCCACCTGAGCCCGAGCAGACACATGGGTGCTCCCCACCGATGCACCCCCAGGTGCTCAGCACCTGCCTGTGCGTCCGCTTGAGCATCTCCGGTCCCCCCCATGCCGCAGACTGTTAGCCCCAGCCGTTTCGGCAGCTGCCCCGCTCACCACTGTGCTGAGAGGGTGAAGGCGGCGTAGAAGACAGTGCTGGCCCAGCCACCCCCGTCCAGGCTGCAGACGCTGCGCAGCACCTCATAGTAGGGGATGTAGCAGACCAGACGCGCCTTCATGAAGGATGTCCACTTGCGCTGCAGGATCTTCTTCCCGCCCACGTCGCTCTGGGAGAGTGCAGGAAGCATTTCTGCACAGGCTGGTGGGGTGTGTGCCCCACTCTGCCCGTGCCTCAGTTTCCCTCAAGGTGCAGGCACACAGCCCCCGCACCGAGAGGAGCAGCGTTTGGCTCCTGAGGGCTGGGGACATGCCTACCTTGCAGACACGGGCCACCCGGGCCACCCGGGCCACCTGGCTCTTGTCGAAGAAGGACGTGGTCTCCTCACCCGCTCGCTCCGTGAAGAAGTAGTAGATTTTGTCATCATCACCCACAGGGCTGTCCTTGCTCTCCCGGACCAGCACAGAGGCCACAAACTCAGCATCTGGGAGACATGGAGTGAGAGGCAGAGATTGACGACCACTGTGGGAGTGGTGGCGATACACAGCATCCCACAGCCTGTGACACCAGTCCCAGGGACAGGGAAGGCTCACCATTCAGCCAGTGCAGCGGGGACTCCTCTGTCTTCAGCGGCCGCTGGTGCAGGTTCCTCCGGATGTCAGGGAGGCTCCGAAATTCATAACGTGTTGCTGTGTACAAGCCGCCGTCTGGGCAGGGCAGGTACCGGTCAGCACAGCCACGCATCCCAGAGACAGCAGGGACAGCCCCAAAAGCCACCAGCATCCCCGTGCCCCAAGCAGAGAAGTAGGAGGAGGAGGAGGGCCAAGTCCTGGCTTGCTAAGGGCCCCACATGCAGACCCCACCTGGCTGGGACCCCCAACTGGGGTTGCTAGGGATGGGACCAGGGTCAGTGGCATCCCGCATATCCTTGCCAGCCCTGCGAAAGGTGCCACTTACCAACAATGAGGCCAGTGTAGCCACGGGCAGGGTCGTATGGGCACTTCTCCTTGCCTTCCTCAAAGCGGGATGGCAACGTGAACCTGTCAGCATCCTTGAGGGGAACAGGGGACCAGGTCAGACAGGAGGGGACAGACCCGCCTTGCTTGCCAGCCCCAGGCTCTCTGCAGAGGCTGCTAGTGGGGACAAAGTGATGCCCATGGCAATGCCCTTGTCCAGGCAATACGACCCCTCCGAGCACGCTCCAGCCGGTCAGAAACCACACGGACAGCCAGAGCCCCCAGCCAAGAGCAGGGAGAGGGCTCAGGAGGGAAGGTGGAGCCCCGGCACCCCACTTTGGCATCGTGTGGGTGCTGAGCAGAAGCCAGCCATCGCAGCCAGTGTTCCTGGGCTGTGCCTGGCCGGCAGACGCTGCCCAGCTGGGCTGGGTTCCCTCGGGTGACAACCCTGTCACAGCAGGAGTTATTTTCTTTGGGGTTTCACAGTTCAAAGCACATCAAATAATGACGGGGCCCTTCCAGCTCAGCAGCTCCTCTGCCTGACTCCCAGGGCGTTCGATGGCCAAACCGGACAGGTGGCACAGCCGTGGGAATGGGCACAGGCCCTCTGGGGCTCCCCGACCATGCTGGGGACACAGCCTCAGGCCCCTTTGCCCCCCAGCTCAGGGAAGGAGGTGTGCAAAGGGCAGCCAAGTCACCCAGGAGCCACCACACAGGGGTGAAAGTCCCACTGCTGGGGGACTGCCCCCCACCACTCTGCCATGAGTCATGGCCACGTGGGGACCCCCAGCCTGGCCTGGGAAATCCCTGGGGAGGGGCCGCTGAGTCAGCCCTGCCACCATCACCCTCCCCAGGCATGCCACCAGCCACCAGCCAGTCTGCTTTGGGAAGGGACCCTGCAACAGCAGGGGCTGAGGACCAGCTCCAGTGCTGGCACGTCCCACCCCGCTGAGCTCACGTGTGTCCCCCCATGGCACTGATCTTTCCCCTGACCATCTTGCTATGGGGTCAAAGTCCAACCCCAGCACCAGGGTGAGGACTTTGGGCACCTGCGTCACAGTGGCTGCATCCCCAAACCAACCCACCCCAGCCTGGGGGTCACTCGGCTCCACCATGAGCTGGGGAGAGGCTGAGACGGGGGCAGAAAGGGAGTGGGGCTGCAGGTGGAAATGGTGGGAGAGGATGGGGGCTGAGTGACCCTGGGGTGACATGGTGGCAAGGGACAGGTGACAGCCGTGGGGCTGGGCGGTACTCACGATGGCGGCGCAGAGTGGGTGGAAGGCGTAGGTCCCACAGGCGTAGAGGTGGGTGCTGTTCAGCCTCTGCAGAAACCTCACGTGGTTGAAGCACTCGGTCTGCAGAGGGGGAGGACAGGCGTCACCAGCCGTGGAAAGCGGTGGCCGCCCCCCCTCCCCGGCACCCGGCACCCACCCATCGGCTCTACCTTGTTGTTTTTGCCCTTCTGCAGGCAGTCCATCTGCTTCTCTGGGGAGGCTTCCCAGTGGATCTGCAAGGGGAAAAGGGACTGTCACTGCATAAACCCCCATCACTGCATGGTCCCCCCGTCACTGCTGGCCTCCGCCAGAGCTGTCAGAGATGCTAAAATCCTCTCTTTTATTTAGAGATGGGACAGCTGCTCAGAGCACAAGATGGCACCCCACCTGCATCCCCCCAACCCGGGGCAAGAGCAGTTCCACAACCCGACCTGCAGGTAGAAACCCCAGAGCACCTGCAGGAGCCTGGAGGATTTTTGGGTGTCCTTCCCAGAGAGAGCAAAGGGGTGTGCTTCCCCCGCTGCCCCTCGTCCTGCCAGGGTGTTCCTGAAGCATGCAGCTCTGAGCCTGGGGACATCTTCCACTGCTGTCCCCACATTGCCTGGCCAGGGAGAATGACTAGGTCCACAGGGGATCTGGGGACAGACCTGGGGACAGCACCTCCAGTTAAGGCCTGAGATGCTAAATGGAAGGATGAGCAGGGATAGGGTGGCCATGATTCGGGCAGGGACCGGGCAGTGTGGGATAGGAGAGGACAACCAGCCGGTGGTGGGCAGAGGCTGGGCTCACCGTGCGGTGGGAGCCGTCAGTCACATCACTGGAGTTGAGGGCGAAGATGGCTCCCCTGGCACCCACGTAGAGGATGCCCCGGTCGTCCTCCAGCAGCAGGGTGCTGTAGTTGAGGGTGTGCGTGCTGAAGCGCCGGACGCCCGACAGCTCTGCAAAGGGAATGGGGGGCTCAGGGGGGACCCCAGGGCAGGCACGGTGTGAGCCGCTGGGAGAAGACAGAGGATGGAGCTGGGAGTGGGTGGGAAGGCACCCACTGAAGTTATCAGGCAGATGGTGTCAGCAGTTACGGCAGGAGGAAAGGGAAGGGAGAAGGCGAAGTGTAGTAATTGGGCTCAGGCTCACGGGGGAAATTTTTTCCTGCTAATTAGAACAGCAGCTCAGGGGTGGGAGCTGCAACATCCATGCCCAGCACAGACCTGCCACGCTGTTTGGGGAACCGGTAGAGGAAGCGAAAACACGCTGGCAGTGACCCCGGCTCCAAACTGAACCCAGTCAGCCCAAAAGGAAGGATGCAAAAAACCTGAACCAAAACTGCCATGCAAAGGGAGGGCTTCTGCGGTGAGGCTGAGCTCTCCCTGCCCACTGAGCCAGAGAAACCATCCAATTTGGAGTGCTGAGAAGTGTGAGGTGGGATTCAGCCCTGGCCAGAGGGACCCCAAGCCAGGCTCAGACCCTCCCACCACAGAAGGAGAAAGTCCTGTGGGGCTTGGGACTCCAGAGGAAGCTGGGAGGGAATGACCACCGTGAAAGGAAGCATTGCCTGGGGAGAAAAGAGCACCCCAGCTGCAAATGAAACCCTCTCCCGCAGCTGACTGCTGAGCTGAGCTGAGCTCTGCTAACGAGGTCAAATGAAGTCGTGTGGATGCTCAAGCCACAATGACACTGCACGGCTGGCTGACACCACGCAGGCTGGAGGCCAAGAGCCCAGTGGCAACTAGAGAAAATCATGGAAGAAAGCTCCCTGCTGACTATTTGGGCCATGAGAGCCCAGCCCAGGTGTGATGCTCGGCTCAGGGCACCCTCCAAGGGCTGCTGGGCAGGCCATGGGGCTGGCCAAGGCTGGCTCCTTGCAGGTACTTGTCCCTCCCTGTTTTTTGGGGAGATGCCTTTGCCCTGCTCCATCCCTCGGGACACATTGACTCCGGGCACTCAACACTAAGCCAGCTATGCAAGCTCCGATTTCTGGAGCCCAGGGGACAGGAGGACCCCTGTAGCCATCCCCCCATGCTGAGCCCCCCGCTCTGGGGGGGCTGGTGAAGGCCGGACGCAGTCCCAATGCACCAAACACAGTGCCAGCAAGACCCCAAACCTCACCACCACCACCAAGATCCGCACCCCCTTACCATCAAAGGTGACCGTTGTCCTGGGGGTGGCATCCAGGTCAGTGGCAGACCGCCGTGAGGGGTAGCCCATCACCGCCGCCACCACGAAGAGAGCCGTCAGGAGATGGGCTGTGCCTCTGCTCATCTTCCCGCTCCCCCAGCAAGGGCAGTCACCCAGCCCGCTGCTGCCGGGCCGGCACAGCCGATCCTCAGGATGAGCTCCCCAGCTCCTCGGGATGGGGCTGGCAGCCAAACCCTCCTGGAACGTAGAGCACCGGGTCAGACGCTACTGCTGCCCCTGGCACCTCAACAAGCAAGTGGGCTTGGGAAGGAGCTGGCTGAGCACATGCATGGACGCTTGACCTGGCACGGCCTCAGCCCGGGGACAGCTTCAGGGAAAAGCAAACCCTCGTTTGCCAAAGGGGAAACTGAGGCACGACACGAGGCATCGAGCCTGCAGCCAGCACAGGGCAGGGAGGGGAGTTTGAGCAGAGCGATCCTCCGCAGCATCCCCCCGGCTCAGCGTCTGCTCCGTCGCAGAGGCGGCAGTCGCTTGTGGAGCGCTTGGTTTGATTGCTCGGAGGCTCATTTTCCTCCAGATCTGCTCCAGCTTCCTCCTTCCATCGCCCCTGGCCATCTTCTCCCATATCACCCCCTGACTGAAGGATATGCTTTGGTGGAGCCAGTTGATCCCCTGTTGCATTTTCACACCCAAAAAGCAGGCACATTTACCCCCAAAAGCAGAGGGCGAGCCTTGGGGCCAAGCCCCTCTGTGGCTCTCGTGGTACACTGGGGCACCCCAAGCCCCACTCCCCGGAGCAGCTGTGGTTGGATGAGCAGCAGGGGGGCTCCCGGGGAGCCCCAGGGCTCCGCTCCTCCCCAAAAGCACAGCTGGCCATCTCCTGCCACACAAGGTACTTGTCCCCAAAGTTTTGCACCTCCTGAAATGACGAGGCTCCCGAGGACAGTGGTGCTGGGAGGGATGCTGCAGACACGCAGCGACGCAGGGCAAAGCAAAACCCATACAGGAGCCGCTTGGCATCTTCATCAAGTCTTTTCAAGCGAGAACAGTTTTTCCCCCCAGTGTTTTTCCACAAGATTTCAGTTTCTCTCTCATCCCAAGTTGCCTTGAAGCTCAGCATCTACCTCAGCTCTCGCTTTCATGCATCCGAGACCTCCCGAATAACCCCCCGCCTCCCGGCTGCACTGAATGAAGCCACCAGTTCATTCTAAAGGCACTAAGGAGGAAGGAGATGACTGGGTATCTCCAAGCGGGAGAGCTCCCCACAAGCAACCAGCACCTATATGTGTGCTTAGAGAGGTTTTTTTATAGAGAGAGATGTATATATAAAACAAATACCTGACCCTGCAGAGAAGCTGTTCAAACACGCTTGCTGCAGACAGTTCCCCTGAAGCAAATACCTCGCCAGGTCTCGGGCAGAGGGGAGGTAAAACCAAAGTGAAACGAAAGCGAAAAGGGCTTTAGGGCTGAAAAGGAGAAGTGAGGGGCTGGATGTGGGATCCAACCGTGGTCCTGGAGCCTGCCCTAAACTGATGTTTACTTCGGGGGGAGGGACAGACCCAGACCTCGCACCTGCACCGACCTCTACCCCAGAGCACCCCAACTATGAAGCAGAGGGGAGATGTTCCCCCCTTCTCCATCCTGCCTCGCTGCCCCCCAGGGAGCAGTGGACAGAGACCCAGAGCATCCTCCCACCACGGAACTCTTGTTCCCAGGGCAAGCCCTGTTTGGACCGAGAGTCAGCCCGTGAGTGATGGGCCTGGCAGAGCCATGCAAGGCGAGTGAGCGGTGGTGGAAGTCAACGAGAAAGAGGTTGCTTTGGTGGCACTGTGTCTAGCGTGAGCGAAACCCACCAAGCTTTTTGGGCAAAGCAAGCGGCGAGGTCACATCTGGAGCACCAAAGCACCCAAGAGCACTCTCGCCAGCCCTATCCCACCAATGGGACCAGGGCAACACTGGCCACTGCAGGGACACGAGACCAGAATCACGTACAAGCCACAAGAGCTGCCATGTATTTGGGCTGGGAAAGCAGAGGGGAGGAGAAAACTTCTTACGACAAGGCAAACAACCATCTCTAATAAATGAGTAACAGCCCTGCAAGCTGCCTGCACGCTGCCAGGCATCCTCGCCTTATCTCCCCCCGAACAAATAAGCCCTGAACTTTGCCTGCTGCCTGGCTCCAGGCGCGATGGGGATTGGAGCCGGGAGCACGGCTGGGCAGGGAGGCAGGGATGGTGCTTATCGCAGGGCAAGCGCCGCGCTGTGAGCCAGCCCCGGCTAACATTTAACCAGCGTGAGCACCGAGGCAGCACGGGGTGGGGTGGTGGTGGTGGGAAATAAAAATAATAAATTAAGCTGTGGGGCTGTGCAGGGTTCCTAGTCAGGCAGGGGGGAGCACCCTCCCCTGCTGCAGGGACTGGGCTCCTCTGCTTATTCCAGGGGAGCAGCTACACCCATTTCCAAAGGCTCCTTTGCCTGAGATCAGATGTAACTTTGTCCTAAAGGACATTTAATCAGTTAGCTGTACGAGCCAGTTAATATTTTACTCGAAGGGAAGGGCTGCTCTCCAGGCTTCGTTTTTTTTTTTTTTTTATTTTTTTTTTTTTATAGTGAGCCAGCCCCGGCTAACATTTAACCAGCGTGAGCACCGAGGCAGCACGGGGTGGGGTGGTGGTGGTGGGAAATAAAAATAATAAATTAAGCTGTGGGGCTGTGCAGGGTTCCTAGTCAGGCAGGGGGGAGCACCCTCCCCTGCTGCAGGGACTGGGCTCCTCTGCTTATTCCAGGGGAGCAGCTACACCCATTTCCAAAGGCTCCTTTGCCTGAGATCAGATGTAACTTTGTCCTAAAGGACATTTAATCAGTTAGCTGTACGAGCCAGTTAATATTTTACTCGAAGGGAAGGGCTGCTCTCCAGGCTTCGTTTTTTTTTTTTTTTCATTTTTTATTTTTCATACCTAGGGTGGAGGAGAAAGGAGCAAGAAGGAAATGAAACCATCCTTGACCGTGCTCAGATCATCAACCCCCACTGCAGCCACACCAGACACCCCCAAACCCATCATTTCCCCCTTGGTAGGGTGCAAGTTCAAAGCTCTGGGAGAAGGCGAGGGCCAGAGGCAGAGGAGGTCTTGGTCCACGGGACCCACTGGTCAGGCTGGAGGTGGCTGGATTGCTCAAACCCAACACTTCCATGCGAAACAAGGAAAAGCCAGGAGGTTAAATGCCACAGAGGGTTTTCTCCAGGGGAGGGAGACAAAAGGGGGAGAGGAAGAGGCTGAAAAGCAGCAGCAGTTCCAATAAAATCTGGAGTTTAAGAGAAAAACTGCCCAGAAAAGCCCATCCCATCCCCAGGAGTGAGCTCCCAAGCCCCTCGGCGCCTCACCTACTTCCCAGCACAGGCAAAGCTGACATAGGACACAAAATCCAGCCCCACCTCCCACCCCAGCTGGTGACGCTAAAGGAAAAGGGTGGTGGAGACAGGATGCGGCCGCGGGGCTGATGGCTGCCCCAAGAGTGGGGCAAAGACAGGAACCAGCCGCTCCAGTTGCCATGTGCAACGTCCACAGGGGCCAAAGCCCACCCTCCTACCACCGGCTATCGCTGCTCCTGTGGGATGCAGCTGTGGCTCCCGGCATGGAGCTGGATGAGCACGACCCAGGCACCGGGTCCCACCGGTGGGACGGGTTTGCTGGTTCCTGAGGAACGCCAGGAAAGCAGCAGGGCGGCAGAGGCGTGCAGGAGCGCGCAGGGGAGCGAGCAAGCCCCGGTCAGGTCTGACTGGGTTTACTGGGTCACGATGGAAGCTGTGCGAGTATGACTGTGCCGGCCTCAGCCTCCCACCAGCAGCCAGCCGGCACAGCACACCCAAATGAGCCAGCCCAGTCGGCACCTCCTTAAAATCCCAACGACCAGCATCTCTGGAGGTGCGAAAAGCTTTTGATGAGTGAATTTCCTGGCGGCAGGTCTCACCAACCTGCACCCAGCCAAAGAAACCAGCCAGTGCTCCCTCGATGGCCGCTGCACAGGGAGCTTTCTGCTGGCCATGGTGGCCCCTTCCCGCTGCCCCGCGGTCCTCAAAGCCACGAGGCAGCAAAACGTGGGAGCAAGAGCCTGCCACGAGCCGCAGTGCAGGGAAGCCGTGCTGTCAGCGGGGCTGGCAAATATGGAGAGACCTCAGCTGAGGTCTTATGGCCCCCCTCCATGCCTGTTTCCTCGGCGGCACAGCCAAAAAAGGTGACGGCTTTTTAATTTAAAGGCAAGCTGAGAGAAAGAAGGGGAATGCTGGGTGGGAGCAGCCCTTCTCTGGATCACCCCCAGCATTTGCAGATAGAGATTTGCAGAGCGGGATCGGACGCTCCCCCATCCTGCAGCGCTGTGGACAGCTTGTGGTCGCTCCACCGAGCTCCAGTAAAGCCCAAGCAGGCTCCCGGAATGGCCGACGGACCTTCCTCCCCTCCTCGTGGGCAGCCCCCCTTGGCATCATGCACGCCTACAAGCTTCCCAGTAGGGGCCAGGATTTCCAGTGGGTCTCCTCCGGGTTACGGAGTTGCAAAACAGCCTTAACAAAACTCCCAGCAGGGACTGCACCAGGGGCCACCATTTACACCTTGCTTTTTAGAGCAGCCCAGCCTGGGCGCTCCAAACCCTGCGTGGCCAATTCAGCTTCACTCACTGGGGCCAAGCCCGGCACGTGACTCCCTCGCCCCCGGCCCCCTCGGCTCCTCCAGCCCTGTTCCCACCAGCCCTGCGTGGTTTTACCCCCCCGGGGACCCACACGAATTGCCCTCGGGTTCAGCCAAACCAGCCCGACCCATTCCCGGCGCAAGGGGAGCGAAAGGCCCCCGCCCCGGGGGATGAGGCAGGGAGAGCTGCCGGCTTCCAGGCGTGGGAACAAGCCAGGGAATTACGGGAAAAGAGCCATCCAGCAAGAGACGAGCCTGGCCCCTGCCCGGCGGCGAGCACGGCGCGTTTCGGGCCCCCCTTCCCCGGAGCCGGCAGACCTTGGGTGGGAAATCCTGCGAGATGCGGGAAGAGGAGCCGAGATGCGGGAAGAGGAGCTGTGATGGAGGTTGCCAGGCAACTTTAATTCAGCCCTTGACGAACTTCCAGCACTTCCCTGCCTC